CAGTCCGCGCGCTCCGGCAGCGCCAGCAGCGCCGCGCTCGCCAGCACCTCCCTGCAACGACAGCGTTATCGCCTCTCAGCATCGCACCATCGTCACACCGTCGCATCATCACATCATCATCATATCGTAGCACCATCGTCACACCGTCGCATCATCACATCATCATCATATCGTAGCACCATCGTCACACCGTCGCATCATCACATCATCATCATATCGTAGCACCATCGTCACACCGTCGCATCATCACATCATCATCATATCGTAGCACCATCGTCACACCGTCGCATCATCACATCATCATCATATCGTAGCACCATCGTCACACCGTCGCATCATCACATCATCATCATATCGTAGCACCATCGTCACACCGTCGCATCATCACATCATCATCATATCGTAGCACCATCGTCACACCGTCGCATCATCACATCATCATCATATCGTAGCACCATCGTCACACCGTCGCATCATCACATCATCACACTAGCTTCACACCATCGCATCAGCACCACACCATCATCGCATCATCACATCAGCGTGACACCATCATCACATCATGGTCACATCATCGCATCATTGCGTCAGCATCACACCGCTGTCGCGTCAGCATCGCATCATCTTATCATCGCACCATCGTCACACCATCATTATCACACCGTCATCGCATCATCATCATCATCGCACCGTCACCGCATCATCATCATCATCGCACCGTCACCATCATCATCATCATCGCACCATCATCATCATCATCGCACCTTATACTCACACCATCATCACATCATCGCATCATCACATCATCATCGCATCATCTCCACATCACCCTCACAGCAGCACCACATGGGGTTGGAGGGGACGCCAACCTGCCAAACTGCAGTGGGAATCGCCCACGGATGCGGTGGAACAGCTTCTCGCCTGTGTCCAGCTCCACGTAGAAGTAGGGCATCCCTGGCTGTGCCACCTGTGGGAGAGCAGAGAGGTGTTGGGAACAGAGATGCCTAACTGCCTGTGCTTTGGACAGGAAAGGGACCTCCTTGAAAGTGTGCTATGCTGCAGAGGGAGGGTGGGCAGCACAGGGTGTGTACCTTCTCACAAGTATAAGGAGAGATGATTCTGTATATGCAGGAACGTGACACAAAAAAGCAATTCCAGGATCCCTGGTTGCTAAATCAAACACACTGCATGGGATGGGAACACATGGGGGTTCCCAAGCCACAGCATTAAAACCCAACACATGTGGTGTGAGTTTGGAGGAATTTCAATGGACCAACGGCACAGGCATCACAACAATGCAGGGAGGGGATATGCCAGGTCCCAGACTAAGGCACGAGCTGGGACATTAGAGCTGGGACACCTTGGGATGATAGATGAACCAGCACAGAGCTGCCAGGTGACAGGCACACCCTTTCCCTGCCTGGTTCAGGGCCTAGGGCCCCAGCTGTCCCCATGCCATGGTCCTCTCTCCAGAGAGGAAACTGAAAAACAACCCCACCAAACTGCCTGAGCTCAGTGTCTGACCTCAAACTGTACCTTCCATAGGAGTAAGGAGTGATGGGTTACTTCCTGCTGGGAGCATCAGTGGATGATGCACCCTTGGCACTACAATAATACCTTTTGTGGTTTAATTCTGCAGTTACTACAGTCATTAAACAGAGACCGAGGCAGGTCTGGTTGTTCTTAACCTTAGCTAGACCTCCCTGAACTAGCACAGCACATTTGCAGAGGAAAAATAGCCTGTGAAGAGGCTTCACTTCCATTTCTCAGCTAAGCAATTTGACAAGTCAAAATCAGGTTGTCCACATGAGCGTCAACAGCTGCAATGGCTTAAAAAGAGACAAGACTGCACACATGCTGCTTCTGGCTCCTCCTGCAGGTCATTCTCCCTGGGACCACTGAGCACAACTGCTATGGCACTCCTGACTCATTTCTCTGATAGAACAGGAAGATTTCTTCCCAGTCCTCACTCAAAGGAACCTAACACTACCTGATGTGCAGCAGCACTGAAAGAGGGTTGGTGTTTGGTACCAGAAGGAATGAATTGGCCAAGGCCTACACATAGCTTGGAGTAATTTTCAGCTAAGTTCATGGGAAGAATACATCTGGCACATCCCCAAATCAAGTCCTGGAGGCTCTCCCTCCAACAGCTTAACCCCACAAAGTGACCTCAGAAGGAAAGCTTAGGCAGGACAGAAGGAGACTACCAGGTGCAATGTGGTCTCATACTTGCGTGATGTCCGAGTGCTCTGGGATTTCTAACAATTCAATCTGTTGTTCCTGTGCTTGTGCAATAAAAGACTCTTTAATGTCTTCAGAAGTACAGAGGTCCAGTGGGACAGGAATCACCTGGAGAGGGAGGACATTGCCATAAAGAGAAGACAAGACAAAGCAAAGGTCTTGCAGAAAGCAATCACTGGAGAGGACTCAAAGAAGGAAACCATCACTGGAGCTGGTGTGCTCCTCAGTACAGCTCAGCCTCATCACACGAGACAGGGGCTCACCCATCTCTACAGGCTTAAACTTATGAGTTGTTTGGGTTTATTTCTGTAGGAGCTGAGCAAAGAGCTGAAAACTGAAAGCCTGAAGTTCTCAGCACAGCCTTCTCCTTTCTGATCTCTGTGGTAGTTCTGCTACAGCTCTGATACACTTACAGATCTGCCAAAACCAGAAACCACCACAGTAAGCCCTAAATGCCTCTTGATTCCTTTGCAGTTTATATTCAGTGTGGGTTTATCCTCTCCCAGGGTGACAGCCAAGCCATACCTGGAGCTGCAGATGCTGACTCCTGTAGTTCCTTTCAAACAGGACATATCTCTTGCCCTTGCTTCTGAAAAATTCCTTTAGGGCAGACTTGTATTTGGTCACTTCTTCCAGCACCTCTGAAGACAAGTCCACTACTGACTGATAGTGCCCAATAGGCAGAATCAGGACGTGGTCAGGTAATAAACCCCCTTTGGCCAGGGCAAGGTAGCACTAGAGTGAAACAGTACATACCAGTTACTCACTGCAAGCAACACACACTCACACTTGCTCTCTGACTATTCAGGGATTCTGCCTCAGGAACAGGAGAGTTTTCTCCTCTTCGTTGCTTATGAGGGATTGAATATTAGCAATTTTATTTGAATATTTTTATGCTGAATTTATTAATTACTAGAGGAATGAGAGACAGAGAGAGAGAGACTGCCAAAGGACAGAAAATACACCTTTGAATATATATATATATGCCTTGTTTGCAGGAAAGCAGTGAGTTAACTTCACCACTGTGGCTAGATTATCTTTACTGACACAAAAATCCACTTACAATGCCATGGACAAACGTGTCCCTGTAGCAGTTTGAAGTGGATTATGCTATACAGGAGCAGTAAGTGCATATACCAGAATGAATCTCCAAGATGTACTTGGAGATGTTGACTTTGAAGCTCTCTTCTCTTCTGTTTCATCTCTGTATAACAGAACCGAACACAATCACCCCAGGGAGATCTGAGAGAACTCCAGACAGTGCATCCTGCTCCCAATTTACACTGAATTCCAGCTGGAAAAGTTCTGCCAGATGGGAATGCTGGGCTGGCACAGCAAAAAGTGTTCAGGCACCAGAATCCAGCTCTGCTGCCAGAGCTAAACTGGGCCAAGTTCACTTCTTAAGAGTTCATACTTCATATATAACTCACTATATCTATCTATCTATCTTGTAATATACATAAAATATACTTATCTATTTTTTGGTAGAGCACATACAAAGAAACTGCCAACATACCCAAGAGCTGCAAATCAAGTTTGCTTGGTGTTTCTAGGTTTAAAATTGGAGATCATCATTTATATTTCCATGTCTCAGCATGATTCTGGTGTTGTGCAGCAGAGCCTATGCCATGGGTACTCACATGTGTGCCAATGCTGACAACCAGGTGCTTCTCCACCTCTGGGCTGGCCAGGCAGAACCAGCAGGGCCCTGTGGGCTGTGCTGTGTCAGCAAAGCAGAGAGGGACAAGTGTTAGCACACAGCCCACCTGGTATTTTCTAGCCACCCTCCCCAGCTGATCAAGTGCTGGAGGTGTCAGGAGGACACAGCTCCTGGCAGCAGGACTGGTCAGGACAATGGTGCCTCTGAGAGATTCCAGCAAGGTGGTGGCAGTCACACCCTGCTGACTGCCATCCTCAGGGGGTGCTCTGGCTTGACAACAGAGCACCAAGTCCAGGGGTTTAGTAGTTACAGTTCACTAACAAGAAAGCACCAGTGAATTAAACAAATGGAGGTAAAATCACTGCATAGGTACAGACAAGGGCAGATGCTGTCAGACACAGTTTGTGTGACAGTGTGATATCTTTGTCATAACACCTGGATTCACACCCATTGGGATACCTGATCCTGTGAAACTGCCTGCTGTCACATTCACGAGCCAGGCTGGTTCAGAGGGTAAAACGCATCAGCCCAACTACAACCACCAGGGATCCAATGAGCTACTAAAATATGTCTCTTCTTTCACCTATTGCTTGTCAGGTTTGTCAGAAACAATGGACCCCTCATCCTTCTGTATTCCCCCAGCTCCTGGGATAGGACAGAGCACTCTGCCAAGTTGACACAGCTCAACAGCCTGAGGAAAAGGGAGTGACATGGTCCAATGCCTCAGGGAACAGCCCTGGAACAAAGCTCTCCATACTCACGGGGTTTCTTGGCTTGCTTAGGCTGGGAGTCTCCTCTCTCCCTCCCATCTGAGGGGCGTTTCTTTCCCTGCTGTTTGTTCAAGTCAAAGAAAAACTGACAAGCTGGTTCCTCCTGTTTAGAAAACAGAAACCTGCTATAACTGCAGCACAGTGACAAGAATCAGTGTGATTTACCTTTGAAAACTATCAATATCATCGAAGCACTGAGGTTGGAAAAGACCTCCAAGATGACATCATGTCCAACCTGTGACCCATCACCACCTTGTCAACTAGACCAGAGCAGTGAGAGCCACATCCAGTCACTCCTTGAACACCTCCAGGGGTGGGTGACTCCACCACCTCCCTGGGCAGCCCCTTCCAATGCCTGACAGCCCTTGCCATGAAGAAATTCTGTCTGCATATCCTGGAGCAGAATGAACTGAGCTGTCCAAGTACTGCTGCAAAGTAAGGGGCACACAAACAAACTTCAACTCAGGACATGGTTGGCTTGAGAAAGGGACACATGAACAACTCCCACACAGGACATGGTTGGCTTAAGAAGGGGTACATGAACCACTCCCACCCAGGGCATGGTTGGCTTGAGAAGGGGCACATGAACAAACTCCTGCACATTGCACCTATGCACTTAGGTTGATGCAAATAGCCTACATAGAACTATTCCAGTTGTAAACCCAAACAGTTCTAAGCACCCTGAGCACAGAGAGTGAAAGCAGAGTGCAGAGAGGAAATAGTACAGGGCAGTACCTCTGCACACAGGGTGGCTTTGGTATTCTGAGCCTCCTTCTGCAGTTTCCTGTAGGGGTTCTCAGTGACATCCTGGGGCTGTTTGACGAGCTCCGCATGCTCCATCGCGCTCATCGGCACGATGCTGAAGGCATATAGGTACTGCAACAAACACAGCTGCCTCAGGGGCCAGAAGCTTCTGCCAGGACTCTCCCTCACTTATGGACCACCCTGGAATGCCACCCCACAACTCAGCAGACTGGTGTTTGAGCTAAGTGTCCCAACCAGGAGTTAATGGAGTGCTTCCAGGGGCTCACTACTTTCACTTTGAGGAAAGATGTCTTTGAAAAGCAGCATTGTATCTCGCTTGACTAAAAAACAACCTTGATCCTTGCCCATTTCCAGGCTTTCCTTCTGTGCAGAACCTTAATTATCAGGCCTGGATCCTGTGGATCCTTAATCACTACCAACCTGTCCTTCTATATTCTGCAACTTTCTTAAGGGGAGAAGAGAAACGGGATAAAAACAAACCCGAGCAGTCTCTTCCTAACTCAGGAATGATCTGTTTTCTGTGATTTGTGCCTCAGAACACATCTTGCATCACTTACTTCTGACATCGTGGGCAAATGGTACCTAATACTGAAGTGAGACGGACACCTCCACTTCAGCCAAGCCTTTAAGTGTCTAATGCTGGCCAAAGCTGGGCTTACTCCCCTGTTACTTGTACTTGAGAAAAGAAAAAAGACTCAAGACAAAGTACCTTTTTCTTGCTTGTATTGCCAACATCAGCAAGTGCAATAAACCTGGTCACATGCTGTGGTGTCTCCTGAAGCACTGTGTGGTTTCTGTATGGAAGCAAAATGTGGTTGTAGTGGCACATACAAAGGACAGTGGGAAAACACTGTTCTCCACGAAGATACTCAGACAGCACATCAGTCCTCCTGTGCTCTTTAAAAATTGATCTCTACTAGAAAACAGACGAGATTTCACACGATCTTACAAACCTGTAGGGAAGTCTTTCATAGTAGGTCTTCTCCAGGGCAGCAAAGTGGTACCTTGGTTTGAGACTCACAGCTAGGTCAGATACTAGCTTGGAGCCACATTTCTTGGTATCTATTTCTCCCTATGAAATACAAAACAAGTTTTATTTAAACCTGTCAGTCTGCAGTGAAAAGAAACAGGTTCATTAATTACATTATTAATACAGATCTGCATGTTGGACATGTAGTATAAGTGGTTGTAATTCCCTAGAGGTGGAGAAAAAAAGTCCAAAGGGTTTGATCTCTTACCACCAACCATAAGGGAGAATATATTCAACTCTGTGTATTCAGAGTTTGCATCCATTTGTTTCATCAACCCAAGTATGTCAGAGTCTCTGCATAAGGGAATCTCCAAGGCTTCCTACTGAAACCATCTGAATTTACAACTGGAAAATCTCCAATCTCTGCTCTCTGTGTCAGTGACGGGACCTGAGGGAATGGCTGGAGCTGTGTCAGGGGAGGTTTAGGCTGGATATTAGGAGAAGGCTCTTCCCCCAGAGGGTGTTTGGGCACTGGAACAGCTCCCCAGGGCAGTGGTCACAGCCCCAAGCCTGACAGAGCTCAAGGAGTGTTTGGACGATGCTCTTGGGCACATGGTGGGATTTTAGGGTATCCTGTGCAGGGACAGAGGTTGGACTGATGAACCTTGTGGGTCTCTTCCAGCTCAGGATATTTATGACTAGCATCTTCATTCCACAGCAACCGACTGAATTCAGAGCAATATTTGTGAGCAGGTGAAAGCTACTCACTCAGATTTTTCAGGCAGGGATAGACAAACCCCCCTGAAGTTCCATAAGCCCTCTGAGGTTCCACAAACCCCCTGAAGCTTCACAAATCCCCGTGCCCCTTAGTCCTCCCTTTCTGAAGAACCAGAACATCCCCTGTCCTTTGGTTTACTCCCAGCTTCCTCAAGCACTCAGGTTTGGGCCCAACAGCCCAAACCTCCATTGCAAGCAAGAAGACAATCCCTTGTCAAACCCCCCTGGAAACCCATTCTCCAGGAAACACAACACTCACCGTGCTGTTGGCATAAGTCCCCACGTCTCTGGGCCAGGGAGATGTGAGCAGTATATCCACCCCTCTGAAGTTTGGGGTTGCTAGCAGAGATGTCTTTAACTCTGCCACATCCTTGGCACTGAAACTGTGTGCAGGAGCTGGTTGCTGCTGTGCCTCTGTCCCGCTCAGGTAGGCGACCTGCAGCCCCGAGCAGCCGCTGAACACCCCTCGCCGGCCTGCAGCAACACACACACACACTCAGCCAAGGTGCAGGCACTTCTGCCTCACTGCTGCTGAAAGTGTCCTCACAGGCAGCTGTTTCTGTACCTGGAGTAAGGACATAATTTAGTGTCATGGCTCAAAGCCAACCTACAACAACAAGGCTGTTCAGACAACCCTCAGTCTTCTCTCCTCCCTGCACCAGCTGCTCAGACAACCCTCAGCCTTGTCTCTCTCTGAACCAGCTATTCAGATAACTCTCAATCTTCTCTCTCCTCCCTCCTACTTTCCTTCCCAAAAATCAATCCATACCATGAAGGCTGAATGAAAAGAGACTCTATTTGTTATGCTTTTTTGTCAGGTGATGTTCTAGAAAGACACTGTTTTTTCCTTTTAGCTCTCCTACAGCTTCATTACCTTCAGATGACACTTATTACCTCTGCTACTCCAGCAAAATCACATTCAAGGACAAGACCATCCCCACACAGAGACAGGCACACTCTGAGAATAAGATATCCTAAAAGAACAGGTTCTTCCAGCCACTATTCCTTTTAGTTAGTGAGTTCAGTGTTAGAAAAACAAAAAAAAAACCTGAAAATCAGTGTTCTCTTACACATTTTACACAGCAGATTGCATCAACCTCAAGTTCAGCCTCAGTGCCCAAAATGAAAAATGCCACCATAAAATTGCCAGGAAAAGGAAGGCCTTGAGGTAGGAAGGTCAGAAAGCAGCATCAGGCCTCCATGACCCCAGAGCACCTGCAGCCTTACCCAAGTAAGTGATGTTCTCAGCCAACTCGCAGCCACTGACGTCCGGAAAGTAGCTCAGGGTGTCCTGGTTGTTAGCACCCAGCACGTAGGTTGGGATGGGAGCTGGGGGAGAAAACCTCATGCACTCAGTCAGCCCTGATTCCAGTGCACCAGCACAGGCTCAGCACACATTCCCCAGGGATCAGGGCAGGCCCCATCCCGTTAGACTCCACCACTACACCTCTGCAGCACACAAGAAGGACAAGAAACCTCCCTGCAAAGCAAGTCCCGAAGCCTGGTATTCCCACACCTGCAGGGAGAGCAACCTCTGCTCCTACCACACCTCCCTCCTTGCCTGTGTAAGATTAGCTCTAAAATTATCCACAGCCCTAAAAGCAGGGATCTTCCCTAGGGCAATGCTAAGAAATCCAGAGCACAAATGCTCTGGTGAGGTAGCACCTCCCTTGTTAGAGGGGTCAGGAAAGAGGCAAAAAAGTCCACATAGAACTTTTCATATCCATGGCTCAAGGGCTGCAGGGACTGAGGAGTAGTGGTTGGACTTGATGATCTTAGAGGCCTCCTCCTGGGACTTAATGGTTGGATTTGATGACCTTAGAGGTCTCCTCCTGAGACTTAATGGTTAATGACCTTAGAGTTCTCCTCCTTGGACTTAATTATCTTAGAGGTCTCCTCCAATCTTGATGATTCTATGAGTGGGCAATTCTCTGCTCCTCTGAAAACCTCTAATCCTGATGGCTGCAG